TCTCTTCTCGAAACGCTGCGTCGAAAATATGTGCCAACGCATAGACATTCCAACTGGTCAGTATACTAGTGAACTCTTTTCCTCAACCATACAAAATCAGCATTTTCGACCCTAATAAAAAACCGATTACGGACAATAGCCATACAGTCGGCCATACAGTCGCGAGGTGCGCGGTCTCTCTGTCCGAGGAACGCCTAGTATTGCAAAATACGTCGAGCAAAGTTTCGTGAGAACCAAATGTCACGCAAAAAGACTCAGTTTTCTCGTTAAAAAGACTCAAGTTTCAAACCATTTGCAATTAGAACTGTTAGTGTAAAGATATTTAGACTTATTGTTAGTGTAAAGCCATAGTTTCATTTATCAAGAACATTGTTCCATCATCCGTGCGTCGAGAGGAAGAGAGAAAGAAGGGAGCGATCCATCAAACTCGTTAACCGTTTCTGTTCGTCTAAATGTCCGGTGAGTCCAACCAAAATCTGGATACTCTGTCCTTAGTAGTTGAGGAAATTGTAATATCTTTTGAATACGCATTATATTTTCATACTTGTTTTCTGTCCAGGAAGTGTAACAATCCGATTTTGTAACAATTCATTTCTTTTGGCAAAATATATAATAGTTATTTATTCAATTTTGATAATTATTTAGTGCGTATTTTCCAAACCTTGTATCCAACGAACGAGGGGCTTGTATAAGTCTAGACCGAATCCGAATCCTATATTATCTTTCCTTCACAAAGAAGGTGTTTAAGCGTTGCGTCGGATCATAACATACCGCAGAGTAGTCACCTACCACTACGCCTACTCCGCACGTAACAGGTAAACTGGTGGCAGCGCTGCGATTTGAATTTGGTCAATTTCGTTCGTTGATGCAATTTTGGGAAGTCAAAATTTAAGAAAAACTATAAAATTCAACGATAACCTGAGGACAAACCGATAATTGAATTTTTCGTTATGAATTCCAACAATTTTGTAAAAGGGAAGCCCCACGTATCGATCGGCTATAGTAAGACTTGTAAGTCAACCGTCCCTTATTTTTCTGTTCTATTGGGCTATAATTGATAACCGAGCTACACTGTTTCCACGGAGGGAGATGACCTGCGAAGAAAAGTGCAACCTTCACAGACACTTGAGGTTATTATCTCTCCAAACACCCTGACCACCGAGGAAGGTCATTACGCACATTTCATACCTGCGGACTGTAAATTGGTAACCCCCATTGGAAAACTGTTACTGGACACAGAAGCAATAGATTTACAACAGCTCATGTCAAAGAAACCGCAGAAAGGAGACGTAATAGAATCAGCAAATGGCTCATACAAAGTTTACAGTATAATAATATCAGATAATTTTTACGACACCATTAAAAGTGAAGATATACTAAACGGACTACAAACACTGAAACAGCATTTAGATCAAAATCCAATTAAATCATTTAGAATATCAGCAGTCGGAGATTTTCATAAATTACCAACCAATGAATTAACTAAATTAATAAAGGACGTTTTCAACGGTACAACACAGAAAATCATCATATGCAATTGTTCAACGATTACACCATCAGAAGAAGATCGATTACAAATAATTCGCGAAGCTCACGACAGTTTGATAGGAGGACATAAAGGAGTCACATAAACATATAAACGCATCAGAGCGAAATATCAATGGCCAGAAATGCACAACGAAATACGAAATTATATCAGGAAGTGTCCAAGCTGTCAAGAAGAGAAATTAGTTAGAACAAAAACTCGTCAACCAATGTTAATTACCGATACCCCGATAGAACCATTTGATAAAGTTGCTTTAGACACCGTAGGACCTTTACCTTTAACGCCTAGCGGAAATAAATACATTCTCACAATGCAAGATTGTTTAACGAAATATTGTATAGCAGTAGCAATACCAAACATTAGAGCAGCCACAATAGCAGACGCTTTCGCGAGACATTTTATTGCCATATATGGAACACCACGAGCAATATTAACAGACAAGGGAACTAGTTTTATCGGAAGCTTAATGAAAAATCTTTCAGAAATATTCAAAATCAAACAAATCACAACTTCTGGATACAGACCACAAACTAATGGATCACTAGAACGAAGTCATATAGTACTAACAGAATATCTTAAACATTACATGGATAATTATGAAGATTGGGACCTATTAATACCATTTGCCATGTTTTCTTATAATACTTCCGTACATGAAGCAACAAATTTCTCTCCATATGAATTAATATTTGGAAAACCAGCCCGTGAACCAAGTTCGTTTCCAACTGGCGAAAGGTTAAAATCATATGGCGACTATTTAACAGAATTAATAACTCATACTATAAAAATCCGCAACATAGCAGCCGATAATTTGATTGCCTCCAAGCACCGTTCGAAGAAGTACTATGATAAACATTCCCGACCGGTAGAATTCAATGTAGGCGATTATGCTTATGTATTGCTAGAACCACGAATTAGTAAATTTGATCCACATTATGTAGGGCCATATGAGATCATTAATGTAACAGATATGAACAACATTGTATTGCGAACACCTGACAAAACGATAACAAAACACCAAGATAAATTAAAACACGCTTATTTTCCATCCACAGCGGAAAAAAACGGAAATAACGGGAAATCATGATTCCGGCACAACTACTTCTGATACCTCTGGCTCTGGTTATGAGTCAGACAGCGATTAAAGGCGGTTCAAAGGTGTTACCACTGGCGCAATCAACGGGTTTGTTTTACGATAAATTGTCAGACATACGGACATATCAATCGCAATGGCGATTGGTCACGTCATTGGATGTTGATAAATACCTTGCACATGCACCACCAGTAGAACAGATAATTCTGGCCATGAACCAACTTTGCAAAAAACACGGTTTAGAAACTTGCCTCAGCATGGAAGTAGGACCACGGTTACTTAAAAGAGAAGAAAACACTATACAGTATAGGAATCTAATACAAACAGCAATAGGAAACGATGCCTTTCCAAAAAGACGACCATTACGACGCAATGCACCATTTGGATTTATTGGCACAATCAACAAAGCATTATTTGGAACCTTAACTCAAGAAGACGCAGATTTTTACAACCAGGAATTGAATAAGTTATATAAAAATCAACTTGAAATAATGGAACTCAACTCGAAGCAAATACACATTGTGAAAGGGGAGTTTTCAGCCATACATGAAAGATTAGTAAATTTAACACAGGTTACATCTGAGCTGATAAAAGCTGCATCAGAACATTCGCGATTCTTAGAAGAAACTAGGTCCGAAATTGCCCAACTCCGTTTTGAAACAGCTATAAGGGATACCATTTTAGAATTAGAAAGAGGATTGGACGACTACAGCACTAATTTACTATTATTAATAGACGCAATATTATTAGCGAAACAAGGAATAATGCATCCTGCCGTTTTTTCACCACAGCAATTATTGAAGTCAGCATTAAAGATCAAACAATCTTTAACTTATGAATTTCCATTATCTCCAGAAGAATTATTAACTGAACAAATCGAGAAACTAACGAAATTAAATGTAGTATTTGCAAAAGGCAGAGTATTATTTGAACTCACCATACCGCTTTTGGAACAAAAGGTGTTCAATCTGTATAAAATCTATCCTTGTCCATCAAAGCAGGTTATTAAAGAAAAAGAAGTAGTTACGTACATACAACCACAAATTTCATACATTGCAGTCACTACAGATGAGCAGCAATACTTTTTACCTACCGAGGAATATCTTGGAGTTTGCCGAGTTCATAATAATCAGTTAATAGGACCATCAACATTACCATTATATCAGGTAGAAGGTCATGCAACCTGCGAATCTACCTTGCTTTTGAATCCATCCGCCATAAACTGGGAAACCTGCGATGTAAGGGTAACCACCAAGCTTCAACCATTCTGGCAAGTGTTAAGCGCTCCTGCTACCTGGTTTTTCTTTATGTCAACCCATAAAAAGGCCCAGGTATATTGTAAAGGGGAAAAACCAACTATAGCAAACATTTACAATACTGGAATTTTCAACCTCGAACCGGGATGTAGAGCCACAGTAAATGCGATGCAATTAAAAGCAATGGACACAATAGTAACCATGGAAAATATTATACATTACCCATCCGCGTCATACAATTTATCAGTAATCATTCCGAAAATAACAGAACATCACCTATCAGTTTTAGAAACCAATTACACTAATACAGATCAAGTAATCACAAATTGGAAGAACCTTCCGACAGCACCAAACCTAGAGGAATTGGAGCATCGGGCGAAAGAATTGGAACTTCAAGAAATTTCCACAAATCGTATAAAAATATCAACATTTTCCTCGTTTGGAGTAGTATCTTTGATCCTACTATTAATAATTGGGACAATAATAAAAAGTAATATACACAAAATCATTAATAAACTAAAACCTTTGGACAAACCGAACGAAATTGAATTGCAACTGGAAGAAATACCTAAAAACTCAGAAGAATCAAATTCAAATAATATAAATTTACCAAGGGAAAAATCTTCAGCACCTAGACCAAGTGCCACAATATTCTAAGGGGCCGTAGCCACTCCTACACATCCCTCCTCTAAGAGTCGAAATAAGAGTGGGGTAAGATAAGGGTTTTCAGACTATATAAGCAGTTCTCGGCACCATAGTCTCATCAGTAGACATCCTCAAGAAAATGAACACCATCAAAAATATAGTTTTGAGCAGTTCTGTTCGGATCGGAATTGTCCACGTGGACAATCCAGTAGAATTCTGGGCGCAGGTGGACGACGGTCGGGAAGAAGCTAGGCGACTGTACCGGGACCTGTATCGGTACATGAGCGACCGCGGCCACCTCCACTTTCCAAACCAGGGAAGACTGACCACTGGACGTCTGGTGGCGTACAGAAGTAAAGAAGGTACCTGGGTCCGAGGAGAAGTTCAACACCTGGTGGACGGCCAGTTCGAGGTGGCTCTTCGTGACCACGGCAAGGTGGCCTTCAAGGTACGAGTACGGGGTATCCGCCCTGTATGCAGGACCTGGAAGATAGAGCAGGCCAAGAGGGTGTTGGAAGGAAGGAGGGGTCTGCTAACCAACATCAGAGGCGAGGGTGAGGTCGTGGCAGATGTAGCCCTCGATCGTCTACCAGGACAACCACCATTCAACGTGGCGGAGGCGTGGTTGGGCATGAGATACGCGGTTCCAGGCCGGGTATAAAAGCAGACCACAACACCATTCTTCCAAAACACTTATCTGAGCGGACCGAAATGTGCTACATCAGGGAACAACCAACTGAGAGGGACACCAGTCGCATCGAGCTGCTGATGAACTTGACGGCCCGCCTGTGCATGCGCAGCACTTGCTACAGATTAGACGTTGGCATTGTCTGTATGCAGTGTGCTCTCGAAGCAGCCCTTGGAGCAGCAAGGATCTATGACATGGTGGAGGTACACTATCCACTACCAACGGCATATCCGCCTGGGGCCTGCGATATTTGCAGCGCGCCCCTGATGGAGTTGCAGGCCGCCTACCACTGCGAGGAGTGTATTGCCGCCATCATCATGGAAATGGAATACCAAAGAGCAAACCAACCCATACCACCGCCTGCAATAGTACCAACCTGGTACACCGAGAGACAAATCCGATCGAGGCAGCCTGGACCCAGACGTACGCTTCGACTTCATACCGCAGTTAGCAGCATCACCAACCATCACACGTAGCGATAAGTACACACACATCACACATAACACCCGACATATTGCATTACAACACCAAAACTTCAACACATTCTAGTGAGTGTTTTCCTTTCCAATTGAAAGCATCACGATTACCGCGATGTTTCATCTAAGGGGGGAGGTGTCACGTAGACAGACCGTTTTTATCAAACGTGTCTCCTTTCAAATAAGCTTAAACATCTGGAAAGGAAAACTCTCGGGCAAACCGACCATTTACTCTCGTAATAAACAGAAGGCCCACCGATAGCAGAACCAAACACTTGGGAAAGCAATGGGTCCGCCGTAATCAAATAGCAGATGCAACCACTCTAAACTGTCGCAAAGGCAGGTGGACCCAGCCTGATCACTCGAATAGTAACCAGACCACCCTTCTTAATTAGTATATAAACCCGTTCGTACCAACGATCGGGGGCAGTACCAGAGTTCATCTCGTGTCGAGCACGTCGTGTACGGTAGTGAGTTGGTTACTATTAGTGAGATCGGGTTGAAGCCCCTTCGAGCAACATTCACCTTATAGAATCCGCGAGTCGTGTTTCTATTTGGCATTACAATCAACCACACACAACACCCCCGCATTGCCAGTGCGTGAACACCGAGCATAGTGGAAATAGGTAATATATCACATTATACACCTATATTCGCGACAACAACATCTGTAATAGACCAAGATTGTAGAATATATACATTGCTGTGTCAAACCCACATTAGCATTCTCCTTTAAACCCAGTGAAACCTTGTGACAGTTCCTACCACAATACAATCTTACCGCTCGGTTGTATTGATAATAAAATAAGTTACGCGGCCGCCAATCAGAAAGCCTCTGATAGCCACGCGCGCTGCCAAGCCGTCGGCCACGTAACAGTAGAAACTTCGAAAGCCGGCTCCTGGAGCATTTTTGACTTTTCGTGGGGTCCGGGAACCCCAGTGGGGCGGTAGAGAACCCGTTGTTCGTGGGGTTGAGGTATGCCAGGGGCAGGGGCCCTGAGGCACCCAGTAGGGAGGATTCCCATCCTGCAGGGGCTGGGGTCCTGTGGAACCCTGCGTGTATGGTTGTCATCTTGCAGGGGCTGGGGTCTTTGATTACCCATGGGGTCCTCAGTACCCCGAAGTGACGTAAAACGGTTTTGGGACGGTAGTGATAGATTGGAGCGTACAAACAAATGTTAGTAGGAAAATATAAGAGGTACGCGCAAGTTTAGAACAATTTGTAATACTGCTATTTACGACGTTTCTGGGGGTTTTCCATCATTTTCATGCTCGGGCCTTTAATTGAGGCATGTCAGTGACCCTTACTGTTATGGTTTCCCCCCGTGGTGCTGCGGGGTTTTCGGCGACGACCTGGCTTATTTATACTGGAACTGAGAAGGATATACTGAACAGGGGTTTTGGACTGTTTTTGACTTATGACGACTCTGGCTACGTCTAAGGCTAATTCTACAAATAAAACATAATGGATAACGACAGTACAAGGATCAAGAATTACGGTGCAGGGGGATTCGGACCCCCCAGTACCGGCGTGGAGGGCAGTGTGTGCGCAGGCGCCCCCACGTCGTTAACAAGCAACTGCGCAGTACGGGAGGTGGACCGCCAGGCCCCCGTACTAGCAACAGCGTCTGGCGAGGTTAAAAATCCCAAGATAGCGGTACAGGCTGTACCCAGCGCCTTTTTTAAGAAGCCACGTGTAAGTAGGACCCCCCCTGGTGCGACCAGGTGCAGGGTTCGAAGTGAGAACTCTGGAAGGACCGACTCCGTGGACTTAACCGGAGACGAAGCGGAGGGCGAGGATAGCGACGTCAGCACGAGGTCGACAATGAGTGGAACAGCTGGTATAGCTCCGAAAATGCACAAAATGGGTTCTCCCTCACTAGAGGAGAAAGTAGATGCGAGTTTGAAAGCCATCGAGAAGATACTGAAGGCGCTGAGTGACCACAATATGGTCTTTGATAATCTAATATTAAAGAGGAAAGAGGGAGAAATTGACCCTATACTTAAAGGGACTTACAAGTCCATGAAGGGTTGTCTTGACCAGGTCATCGAAGCGGTGGATGGCCTTAGAGAGGCGCACAAAGACCATACGGTAAAGAGAAAGGAAAAGGGTACCTACCAGGGTCCGAAGTTGTGGTCGATGTCCGGGGATGATCACGGCAGCAGCAAGGAACCTGAAAAAAAGAAGAGAACAGTTAGTATACAAACTCAAACGGATTGCGAAATGAGGAGTGATTTCCCACCTCTCCTAGTGAACCACCAGAAGAGGAAGGAGATTACTCCCCCCACAGGAGGGGATGGTAAAAGGACAAGGTTCTTCGGTGGGAGAGAGGACGGGGAGCCTAGAGAAACCGTGCAAGGGAGAGAGACAGCGAGACAGAGAGAAGAGAAGGCTGTTGGCGATAGTGGGGATGAATGGAAGGAAATAAGAAGCAGGAGGAGAAGAAAGCTCTCTGTAAGTGGGGGTATGGATAAGGATGATACTCCTATTAGAAGGGGTGCACAGAGGACAGGACCGGAAAGGGGAAGGGTAGGGGCACCCACACCAAAGAGAAATGTGAAACCGCAAGCCATTGCAGTCCGATTCGGAAAGGAGAAATCCTTCGCTGAAATATTGAAAAAGGTGAAGGGAGCCGCAGGTAAGGTTCCAGAGGGAATACGGAACGTGAAGCAGACTAGGGCGGGCAACATACTGCTGGAGTTTGCCCCGGGGGCGGATCTTGAGGGCCTGAGGCGGGATCTAGACGGTAAGTTAGGCTCCGAAGTAGAGGTAGCTAGTCTACAAAAGAAGATGGACGTGGAGATCGAAGGTATCGACCCCACGGTGGAAAAGGAGGAAGTGATTGAGGTGTTAAAGAAAGAGTTGGGCCACGAGGCTAAAGGAATTAGAGTGAAGGTGTTTCGTGTGGACCCTAGATTGAGTAAGATTGCAGTGATTGAGGGTCCGGCTGTGGACATGAGCCGCCTAGTCAATAGAAGAATATTGATAGGTTGGACTGCAGTTACGCCTAGGGAGGTCCCGCGTCTTTTGCGTTGCTATAAATGCCACGCGATTGGACACATGGCAAGCGCCTGCAAACTGACGGGCGACGAAGAGGGACTCTGCAGAAAATGTGGAGAAAAGGGGCACCAAATGAAGGAGTGTGACAGAGACCCAAGGTGTAGGCTCTGTGTGGCCGATGGGCTCCCGATTGAGCAAGTTGGTCATGTAGCGGCCTCGGTACGATGTCCCAAATACAAAGAGGCGCTAAGACTTAGCAGGCGAGCGTAAGATGAAAATCCTGCAGGCGAATATAAATCATTGCCGTTTAGCACACGACATGCTGTTAGTTAGTGCTACAGAGAAGATTGCAGATCTGGTAGTGGTGGCTGAGCCGTACACCATACCGGACAACTGGTTTAGTGACACCACGGGTAGAGCGGCAATATTTATCACCAATACAGGCTTGGCCAAGTGCAAGCAGACCACAATTGTTGGTTGTGGAATTGGCTACGTTGGTATTAGCTTTAATGGACTGGGAATTATAAGCGTTTATACCACCCCGAATGCAAATCCCCAGGAGGTTGAAGTACAGTTCTCGGCGTTGGAAGCCCTGGTGAGGGATTTACAGTCATCGCACTCTAAAATACTGATGTTAGGGGATTTTAATGCTAAATCCCCGCTGTGGGGCGCAGATAGGTGGTGTGGGAGGGGAAAGGTCCTGTTCCAATTGGCCACGAGCCTTGGTCTCCACCCAACGATTGCGGTGGGAGGTGCTACATGCGAGAGAGGGGGTGGGTCCGTCGTGGACATCATGCTGGGGAATGACCTGGCACTCAGCCCTCACATATCGTCAGAAGTAAGTGACGAATTTACAGGATCTGACCATAGGTATGTATGGCACTCGTTTAGGGAGAGTGACTCGGTGTACGCGGTAGATCACGACCTTTTTGACCTTGGAAAGGGCAAAATCGACGAGGAAAGGCTCCTTGCGGCGTTAATTAAAAAATATGGCGACGAAAGCCTCGAGAGAAGGGGAAGGACCGGCACCACACACGAAGTGGACAAATTTATTGAAGACTTGGAGAGGCTGGTTAATCGTTACACTACCTATAGAAGGGCGACATTGAGGGCCCATAAGCCAGCTTACTGGTGGAATGACGCCGTAGCTGTGAAGAGAAAAGAGGTTAATAAAGCCAGGAGGAAGTATACCCGGGCAAGGGCTAAGAACGTGACAGCGGATACTGAGGCCGCTTATGCAATATATAAAGCAGCTAAGAAGGCCCTGAATAGGGAGGTTAATAAGGCGAAGAAAACCAACTGGAGGGAACTGTTAAGCGAGATTGATAAGGACATATGGGGGCGGCCCTACAAGACAGTTATGAAGAAGTTAAAGGGCAAGACGACTAAGCCTGACGTGATGTGTCCTGAGGAAGTAGAAGCGGTTGTGGAAAAGCTGTTCATATTGAAACCACCCGACGGGCAATTACCTGTAAATAAAGGGTTAGAGATCAATTCAGTAGAGACTGCTGGGGTTGGATACTTACATGACTCATCGTACTTACCTGCGGGTGAGAGTGGGCGGAGGCTACCTGAAATTGGAGAAGAAGGGGAAGAAGTAGGTGGAGATAGGGAAGGAGGAGTTGCTGAGGAGGTATCTACACATTCATACGCACATACATACATACATACACTTGCACACGTACACACACATCCACAGTCGCACTCACCGGTATACTTACCTGCGCCAAGTTCCGAAACTGGATCGGGAATCGAGCGAGATAGGAGAGGGCAGAACTTCTCCGAGGGCCCACAAACAACGAGCGAGGTGGACAAGGTTACCCCGAGTGAAGTGTATTTACTGGCAAAGAGGTTATCCGCTAAAAAGGCCCCGGGTCCGGATAAAATTTCATCAGCGGTGACGAAGAAATTCGCCATGGGAGCCTCCAGGTGGCTGGCGCACATATTCACCACCTGCTTCAGGAGGGGCTATTGGCCTGTTAGATATAATGTTCGCGAGGCGTGTTCGATCACGGTTCTGGGATAAGTGCCATGCCGTTCCTCATGGTCCTCCTACCAGAAGATGCAAGATCTTCCCCACTCTGTGGCCAGATCCTTCTAGAACACCCTTATCTTTTTACACGTGCCATGCAGCACCATGACTTCGGGTCATCGGCCACACGCGCGTTCCTTCGAGGATCGGCGATCGAACTCTCTATCGCCGTTCCATAAACAAAACATCCGCGACTCTTAGAATTCGTCGCACCTCAAGTATCAACTAC